TAGATTGGTAATCCAACAGGGAATATCATCTTCTGGCTCTGGATGATATGTGTTAAATGGCAAAGGCGGCCAGCCTGTTGGTCAGAGGTTTTACAGGAACTAGAAGGTCACAGGTTAAATCCCTGCTCTACATCTCGTCCTGAGTGTCTTATGCCTTCGTCACTCAGTGCTGCAGGCTGCCACTGCAGTCTAAATTTTTATATTTCAGTGAGAAAAACAGACACCAGTTCCTAAGTGCGATCCCTTTGTTTGAGGTGCTAGATGAGAAAAAAATGGACTGAGAAGAAGCGATTTGAATTGATGTGTGAGAATCACACATTGAATTTGTGTCTCCTCCTACGTCTTTTCCGTTTGCTGCCTCTGAGCACAGAGAAAGAAATTAACACCCGTCAGCCTGCCAAAAGCAGTTAGAAAATAGCTGTGACTGGCAATTTTGTTAAAGCTACAGTACCATAGCAGGTGTGAGACACGTAACAAACACAAATAGTCTATAAGCCTGTTGCATATTGCATAAAACGGTTCAGATAGGTCCATTAAACAACCAGGTGCTGCACAGCCATGATTACAGTTTCTCACACGGACTACAGGCTACACCCTACTCACTAACAAGGTTAAGGGGCCTTTGACTGGGTTTAGATCTAAGTTGTGTGACACCAGCCAGCTGACTGTGACTGTCTGGCACGAGCAGGAGAGCCGGTCATGGACTTAAATTGTAAATCCATTACTGAAAGAGAGGATAGCGTGAACAAACGGCGCTCATTTGTGTCTTATCCTCTGGAACAGTTGAACAGATTGACTCACACTAATTAGGGATTACCGATATTGCTGTTTTGTTCTTCACCACTCAGTGCTGTACAGTATCTGTTGGTTGCTGTGCCTGGTGATCGGATATTTATCAGTCAAGAAAATAAATAAAGTAAAATTTTACAATAGTGTGCTGGTACACAGGCTCAAGAGAAAAACAAGAGTAAAAAAAATATGTTGACTTATGTCTTGAGGTGGAGAAGCATCTAAATGGGTTTATTTTTAAATTCCTACTCATAGCTATTTGTTTTTATAAATCTCCTGTATGCTTGCTCCCTTCAATTTCCCCCCAACATGTCTGTAAAAATGAATGAATTTGTGACAGCAACCTTGAAAAGTCAGAGCCTCGTGCCGTGCACTTGTCTCCTCTTTTGTCAGTTAGACGTGCTGAGGGTGTCTTGGCTGAAGAAACGGTTGAGAATTGGGACACGAAGAACACAAGGATTGAGTAAAGAGCAGGTGACATTCGACAAGGAGCGGAGGAGGGTGTGGGGTCTGAAGTAGAAATGCCACTGAAAGAAACAGAGAGGGAGTGCGAAGATGAGAGGAGGGTGAGAATGGAGGGTGACAGAGGTGGGGAGAATGAAGGCAGAGTGAGAATTGAATGTGTCTATTTTAATATACTGTACTATACAAAATGGAGACATGGAGATTACACAGTACAGGAATACAATAAGATAACCACTTTAATGCAACCCAATAAAATAGATCACCATTTTTGGAAGCTTACAGTGCTGAATACGATATATTTTTTTGTTCATATAGGAATTTATGTAAGACATATATTGAAATTATGATTTTAAAAGAAGAGTTAAACATTTTGGAAAATACCCTTGATCTCTTTCTCGCTATGACTCAGATGAGAAGACTGATAGCACTCACAGGTGTTCCTTTAAATATCATGCTTCGGCTAAAGCAGCTGGTTAGCTTAGCTTAACATAAAAACTGCAAACCGAGGGATACAGTCCAAACGACGGATTCAGCATTTAACGCTAAATCTGACAAGACTGAAACCACTGACAAAATCTGCCGCTTTTACTAGTGGAGCTCCTCACTGGTGACTGAGAGTGCTGTCAGCTCAGCTTTGATGCACAGTATGTTAAAAGAACATAAAAAGACAATGAAAGGGGTACCTGGTTAGCTCAGTTGGTAGAGCTGGCCACCCATGTACTGAGGCTGAGTCCTTGCTGCAGTGGCCCAGGGTACAAATCCGACCTGCGGCCCAGCGCATGTCATCCCCTCTCTCTCTACCCCCCT